GAAATCACCTAAAATACCTGTTTCTTTAGTAGGCAATTCAAATTTCTGTTCTATCCTCTTCCACAACATACAGTTCTAGAAAAAGTGTAAAATATGACATATTTATTGTTCCAAAGGTATGTCATAACTAAAATGCATATGTTAGTTATCACTTTGCTGCAACTTCAGAAGTATACCGAGGAACTATTGTCCTCTTTCTAAAATAAGTCATATACCTATAAAGATATTTGTTTCACTTTACAATAAGGTAAAAATATTTTAGAATATGGTAAAAGGTCACAAAGAATGGGTCCTTTAACATGTTAGATTTTCTTTTTGTAAGATAATTTTATTATTTTCATGCCTTTTTAAAAGATGAGTGTTTTGTACAGTGCAGTAGAAGGTGTATCTGTTGTACTCACATGAGATGAAGTATCCAGTCATGGCCTAGAAAATGATATTTTATAAAACATGGACGGGCCACCCCTCCAGGTGCCATGTTAAGATGGGCAGCTGAACTGTACATACTTGTTCTCGCATACACCCTATTATCAGGCACTTTCTGTCATGTAATACTTTATCTGTCTGTCTGGGGTTGTTTTGTAATGGCAATGATAATTGATAATGTATCAGTTTTAAATTATCAAATTAATTTGTTTTTGCAGATGCTACATCCATGCCAGCAGGTGTCAGTATAAAGCCTAGGAATACCATTGTATCAACCAGTGAAATATGAAGAAAACTGTCTTTGTGCATTTTAAAATAGGGTAACATTCAAAGACAAACTTGTCAAAGCTTGGGAGTTAAAGGGTATAGAAGTCTGGGAGAACTTGAGCAACTACCAGTACAAAAATTTGGAGTCTTCATTCAGGTGACGTTTGTCTATAGAGGAGGTTTCCAGTCTAGTGTCCCCACTGAAAACATCAAGGAACTATAACATATGGAATTGCTATCTCATTACCATTACCTACCTACAGCACATCTTGATGTATTGTCTGAGAATCATGAAATGAAAAATAACAATATAAGATGCCAACAGACTGGCACCAGTTCTGTGAGAAACTAATTTAAATGGCATGGCACCTGTTTTTGATTGGCCATTGGTTTGGTTTGGTCTTTCCTTTGTGGGCCAAAGTTAACAGGTGGGTTGTGGGAAAGCTGTTAAAATGCAGGTGGTTTTGGTCAACAAACAAAAATGGTCCATGAAAGAGAGGGAAACTAGAAGAGACAGGGTGCTAATCATCATCCTCACTGTTTGCTTTATACAGACTTCTTGCCAAGTGACCCAGAGGACAAGTCCAAAAGACCTTGCAATTAGTTTAGCTCTTCCAAATGGTTATGTCAACAGGGCAAACATAATTGAAAACGAGAGCTCAAGCCTGGGTTTACCTTCACATACTTGTCAATACGGCCCAAAAACATATGCAAACACCGCTGACTTGCTGAAGTTATCTGTCTCACATACTTATCCCAGCTGGAGCACAAGTTGCCCATTCTGATTTCAGGAAAGGAGGATAGGCCAAATCCATTAAGGGGAGCTTTTTTGAGGGGGATAAATATGTGCAAAGCAGGTTTCATTTCACTCCTGCTTTTCCTGGACACACTTTAGAGGAATCTGGGAGCAAATCAGCACTTTCCTTTGGCACAGCCTCAGTGAGATCTGCAGGAGTATTTATGCAGACATTGATATGAAGTGGATGTTTAACTGGCCATTTTTATACTCAGCACTTTGTCAGTGAAACGGTCAGCCTTTAATTTTCCTCGAAAAAAAGGCAGGTATACAATTTTAGCTCTCAATGGGACGAAAAGAGTTACTCTTTGTACTCTGAAGGGGTTGTTATAAAGAGCCATTGTTGGAGGGTTGGGTTTGCTTTTCTGTAAGCTTTGCCTGGTAGACTTCAGTTTGAAGCTTTTTTTATATTATTATTTTCAGGCAGGAAGTTAAGGGGGCAAGGCACAGGGACACAATGCAGACTGAATTCATAACTAAATCTCCCATGTGGCCAAGTAGCATCAACATGTCTGGGGTACTTTGAAGAATGTTAACCACTGGGCTACCGCTTCAGCAGTAGGCAACAACTTGATTAAATTCTGCCCAACATTCTACAATGAATTGAAAGAGTGTGGCATAGATCCTATCCCAGGGTAGGCAAGTTCGGTCCTAGAGAGACGCTGTCCTGTAGAGTTTAGCTCCAACCCTAATCAAACACACCTGAATAAGCTAATCAATGTTTTCAGGATTACTAAGGCTATAGGCAGGTGAGATTTTTTTCAGGGTTGGAGCTAACCTCTGCAGGACAGAGACTTTCTGGGGCCGAACTTGTCTATGGTCTCAGCCTCTACAGTCCTACTTCTATTCCAGGGCTGTTCAACTTCAGTCCTGGAGGGCCACTGTCCTGCAGAGTTTAGCTCCAACCCTAATCAAACACACCTGAACAAGCTAATCAATGTCTTCAAGATCACTAGAAAGCTACATGCAAGGTGAAGTATTTCTGTATAGATTGTTGGGTACTACTCTGCTGTAAAGTCTGCAGGCTTTGCAAAAGGGAACATGAAAGGTGCATTTCAGATGCAAAGGGGCATTTAAAGCTCTTCACAATAAAATGACGAATTAGATAACCTATGGCAGGGGGGTCCAGTCCTGCTCCTGGAGGGTAACTGTCCTGCAGAGTTCACACCTGAACCAGCTAATCAAGGTCTTCGGGATTTCTAGAAACTTATCTTGTGTAGGAGATCTGCAGGACGCTGACCTTTCGAGAGCAGAATTGAACAACCCTGCCCCTTAGAATTGAGCTAATAATCATAAGGTTGCAAATCCTCCTTTTAGCAAAGTACATCATGACACCTGCAGAAAGGAGCCTCTAGTTACTCCTGAGGGATTGTCCTTGTAATAAAATCCTTGGACTGCAAGTCATTTTGGGTAATGACTACTTGCAAAGATGAATGAACTCATGAATATACGTGTTGTGTGTTTGAAGTGAAAAGCATCTGTGTTTCTGATGTACATCTGAGACTTATTTCCGCTTTTCCCTCATCATGTCCTCCTTTCATCTATGTCTTTCTGTATCTCCTGACTTCTTCCATACTCCCTGCTATAGTCTCCCAGTCGTATCTTTCTTTCTTCCTCTCCAAGCCTCCCTGGAATTGCAGCCTTTCGTTTAAGGTCGTAAACACTCTATTTGTGGGCAGGTAGCCTGCAGGCAGGCTAGGGGGTAGTTAGCTGCCCTCTGAAAGCTTTTGGCTGGGGCTCAGGAGTTCAAGGCTGCTGAAAATGAGCCAGAGTCTCTCTCTCTCTCTCTCTCTCTCTCTCTCTCTCTCTCTCTCTCTCTCTCTCTCTATCAGAGTCTCATCTATATGTCTGGAACAGAAGATGATTGCATTCTCTTTTACACCTGTTCTGTCTTTCACAGTCTGGATGTTTCTCTCTCACTAAGGCTGTCTGAATGGCTAATCCTCTTTGACATTCGCCTATGTTGTCATTTCATCAGTAATAGATAATTAAATTAAACAGAAGAGGCTCTAATTTGCTCTAGTTGGTGTGAAAAAACACTGGACATCTCTCATATCATCTTGGTATTAAACTCTCAAACCGGGCCGGCGCCGGGGGGGGATTGGGGGTGTGTGTGGGTATTCACGGTCATGCCCCCTTTCCCTAACACTGAATGTCAGCCAATTCGAAAATAAAAAGCGAGCATGCATTTAACATGATTTCGAGACCCGCTGACCCTTCTAGAAATACAAATGCCCGAAAAACAACTGGACAACCTGTATTTTGCATTGCAGATTTGTGACAGCATTGGCTCAACCAGTGTCATGAGTTTGGGGTGAGGCTATCAGTTATTAATATGTAATTGTGTTTAGTGCCACTAGTGGTAAAATCCATCAAAAATTGGTCTATTTATCACATGGCTAATTGGCTATCATTAATCTAGAATCTATCATGACAGGAAGAGGATATTTTACTTAAATTCTGGCATGTTCTGCACCATGAAGAGGAGCATGGTGCTTTATTTATATTTGGGTCGTCTTATCACAGATCTCTTCATTTGTTTGCACATTCACAATGTCCAAACATGTTGTTTGCTGGTGACATGCTTGTATATGAGTCCCTGGTGTTATAGGGCTTGCGGTAATGGAGCAGGGTTTCCTGTGTTGGGTTCAGGTGGTCCGGCTGTCAGTGAGTGGGATGCCTTTGGGAGGTGGGGGTGTCAAAAAAGATTCACAGTTGAAACTTTGCACAGCTGTTCACAAGGTCAACCCTTTATAAACTGTGATGAAATCTTTTTTATCTCTCTACCTCAATTTATCTCCTCCCACATCTTCCTTGGTTTCCATCCATTTTTTCCAATATCATCATTTTAATGCCATTACAAAAACCCATTTATTACTGTACTCATTTAATAACTTGCTCTTTTTAAGAAAACATTTGTCCACTCAGAGGAGCTTGATTGGTCAACGTCCTGACACATGGTGGCCCTGTTTTTTTTACCAAGTCACCACCCATATCACCTGACTCATCTGTCACAAGCCTTGTCTTTCAATGGTCTATTAATAAACTAATGGTCTCATAGGAGGCTTTACACCCTACTGTGATATTGCTAGTTATATTACACATTACAGCATTCCATGTGCTTTTCTGTGTATAGGAGTCTTCGCTACCACCAGCTTTATTTAAAAGTGTTAAATTAAATGTGACAAGGAAAATATTAGTATTTATTCATTTGGGAGTCACTTAACGAAACATCGTAGCAGTTAATGTTTTCCCTGGGAATCGAACCCATGACCTTGTGTTGGGAGTGCAGTGCTCTACCAGTTAAGCTACTGCAAAGGAAAACAATTCATCAACATTAAGATATGAAGTCTTAAATGTTATGAATGCTAACACAATTTTTATATCAAAGCAATTTTCAGTTTCATCGTTATTAATATTACTGATGCTCCACTGATGCTATGTACGTAAGTCAGCACTGCGTATTTTTGCATTTATACTAATGTTGTGTTTCTTATTGATGCCTTTCCAGGTCGTAATGAGCTGATAGCAAGATACATAAAATTGCGGACTGGAAAAAACCGCACACGAAAACAGGTAATGTGAAAGTTTCTATTACCACTTGTTTGGATCGGTACAACAGATGTCATATCAAAGTCAAAGATTATCACTATATTCTGGCTTAATTACATTATGATGCTTGTAACTGATTCAGTCATTAATCTATTATTTATTTATTTATTTATTTTGGCTTGTTCAAGTCAATTTTTTTAAGTGTTCTTGTTTCACTGGTTGAAATAACAGTGAACTTTTTATTGACAACTATTGGTGTGGATGCTGCAATGCCCAAAAACAAACATTTTCAGTAATTGATGCCATTATGTACGGTGACGCATTGCTGCCAAATACATATTATTTTTTCCACTCAATTATGTAAATAACGAGATATGTCGTTTTAACGACAACTTTTCTTGTAATAACGAGATATGTCGTTAAAATTATATCTTTTCTCGTAATAATGAGATATGTCGTTAAAATGACACCTTTTCTCGTAATAACGAGATGTTATGTCGTTAAAATGACATCTTTTCTCGTAATAATGAGATATGTCGTTAAAACAACATCTATTCTCGTAATAACGAGATGTTATCGTTAAAACAACATCTTTTTCTCGTTAAAATGACACCTTTTCTCGTAATGAGACATTGTCGCTAAAATGAGATAATCTCGTTAAAACGACGTACAGTATTTGCTCATTAAAACGATGTATTGTTTTCTTGTAATAACAATGTTTTTCCCATTACCTATAGAAGATATATGGTTACATTATGTGTAGATTATTAATAATAATAATACAATCAAACCGTTTGTCATTTCTCTTTATTTATTTTTAGTTCGATTTGGTTTTAAATCAAACTTAAGTCATTCAAAAAAAGAAATATTCCAAGCCCAGAGTCGATTATTCAAAAATAACTGGTTTGAGTCATATCCTCTGGGTCTAAGTGCAATTATTGGATAGCATTATATTGTAAACAGATTGGAGATTAATCCTAATAAACATGCCGCTACAATAAAAACAATAACATTACAATTTAAAACAGTGTATTTCTGTCTATCTCAGGACTTTGGCGACAGCAGTGTGAACAATGGCTTAGCTCGCTCACGTAGGCCTCCTAATGTAACTACATATCTTTTATAATTTGAAAAACATATCGTTTTTATGACAATATTTCGCTATTACGAGAAAAATTTTATTTTAACGAAGTAATTGTCTCGTTTTAACAACATAACATCTCATTATTACGATAAAAGATGTCGTTTCAATGACATAACATCTCGTTATTACGAGAAAATATTATCCTATTCACAGGCGCATTTATCACATGATTTATTAATTTGTTATTATTATTATTATTATTATTTATGTGATTAATATTTATATTCCCTTAGGAGGAACCACCCCTATATAGGCTACACTAAAACTTCATGACTCATGAGTTAAATGGAAACATATCTGGCAAAACACTCGAATAGTTCTTAAGGTGTAAAACTGGAAAAAAGTACTTAGTGCACTTTTAATATTGCACTATAAATAGAAACTTTAAAGGTGGGGTATGTATTTTTTCGAAAACGCTTTAGAAAACTGAGTCGGGTCGAGTACCAAAACAAACTTGTAGCCAATCAGCAGTAAGGGGCGTGTCTACTCATGATGCAGAGAAGAGAGCGTTCGGTGCACAGGACGAGCATTAGCCGAGCCGAGCGACAGAAAGATAGAGATGGCGGATAAAAAACAAAAGAGGAAAACGTCTGTGGAACAAAAGAAGGCTTACGATAAGGCAAGAAGTAGGACCCATGTAAATATCGGATCAGCTTTCCAGCACTGGGGAGAACTCAAGGAGCGCAAGACCTGCGATCAGACGCCGAGGTTGCTTTGTTTCTTCTCGATAGGTGAGTAACACCGTGTCTACACCGCGCCGCAACAGCTAAAGTCTGTCTACACTGAACACGACAAAGCGACCGTTGAAAATAATTTTAAATTTGTGCCAGTACGTCATAAATAGAATGCAGCAGCTGTTTTCTGTCGGAGATTTGTCGTGCTGCGCCGCGCCACATCCAGTGTAGACAACATCACTGATTATAATGAGTTCTATAGTATTTTGTTGCGCCGCTCGCGTCCGGTGTAGACACGGTGTAACTTTGGTTTTGCTTTGTTTCACAGAACTAATTGTTGCCTGGGTTGCGTACGTATGTGTGGGGCGGAGCTATCAAAATAGGGGCGA